CCTTTTAACTAATTGAATGATTAGTTTAATTTTTATATTAAGAATATGCATATTTAAAGAGCCAAATAGTTCTCTTGGGTTTATTATACTCCATGTCCAAAATAGCAGTCCTCAGTACCTCCACCCTCTTTTTCCTGCTTCAGAAGTAACCATTTTCACTTCTTTTAGCTGATTATTTGATGTTTACATCTGTGTCATTCAATAAGATGCTTGATTGTTCAGAGTTGGTCTTCCCACTATGGCAGATAAGGATTTAGCTCTCTTCCCCTCCCATCAAACACATGCTCCCTTCCCCAAATCCCATCTTCCCAATATCATTAATGTCATAACTTTGGTTAAATCAATATTCTTCATTTACATTATTTTATCTATGTTTGTTACTCAGAGCTGAGTCTTGTAGTAAAACTTTGGTTACAGTATTATTTTTGTACAACGTGTTAGCTTTTCATGGAGTTAATAGCTGTCTTATTGTTTGTTTGTTTGTTTCTTTTGTTTAGTTTTCTATGTATTTACCAACCCCAGACTCTCTGAAAGTTGTTTAAATCTTTCAAGATGCTCAGATACATCAGGTTTTCTCTCAATTTCATCTTCCTGAAGCAGTCTTTCCTGGGGCCATATAACCTGCTCTGATGGGCATGAGTTACGCTCTCTACTGGGTGCACAGCTGCCTCCTGGGATCGCCCTTCTCCATCATTCTACAAGTTCTCTTTGCTTTTCTTTTGTATTGGTTCCTCTGTCTTCCTCTTTCTTGGTTTAGTACCTCTTTTTGAAGCGTACTTTACATACTCTAGTAGCTTCCAGAGAATAGGAAGGTGGGAGGTGTGGGATGTGTGAATTTTTGGGATGAGCTGGTATGGGATGAGCTGAATTTTTTTTGAAACTCTACCTGTCTGAAAATGTCCTTATTATATGTGATTTTTTTCTCTCTTTCTCTTTCTGGAAGCTTGTGGGATCTTGTCTTTGTGCCCAGGGCTCTAAATTTCAAAATGATGAATCTTGACACGGGTCAGTTTGTATTCAGTGTCCTGGGTGTTGTGTGCCCTTTCAATCTGGAAACTCATGACTCCTTAAATTTGGGGAAGTTTTCTTGAATTTTTTTAACTGATGATTTTCTCCCTTCTCTTTTCTCTCTTGTCTTCTTCTGGAGTTTCTATTACTAGGATGTTGGACCTCCTGAACTGGTTTCTATTTTCCCCTCATCTTTTTGTCTTGTCTTTTTTTTTCTCCCTCTACTTTCTGGGAGATTTCCTCAGCTTTATAGTCCATCTCACCCCTTTTATTGAGTGTTTCTTTTCTTCTATCATGTTTTTAATTCTCTTTGCTTTGGAATGCTCCTTTTTAATATTATACTGTTCTTGTTTCAGCACTGCAGTCAATTCTCTTAACTCTTTTTTTTTTTTTTAATTTTATTTATTTATTTATTTTCCCCCCAAAGCCCCAGTAGATAGTTGTATGTCATAGCTGCACATCCTTCTAGTTGCTGTATGTGGGACGCGGCCTCAGCGTGGCCGGAGAAGCAGTGCATCGGTGCGCGCCTGGGATCCGAACCCAGGCCGCCAGCAGCAGGGCGCGCGCACTTAACCGCTAAGCCACAGGGCCGGCCCAATTCTCTTAACTCTTAATGTGTATATGTTTGATGTTTTTTGAAATTTTCTTCTCCTTGCTTGGTCATTGTCCTCCAAGTTGTTTGTTTCTGTTTGGTTTGGTCTCTCAGTTTTACATCAGGGGCTTTTGAAAGATGCCTGGAGGTCCTTGATTTGTCTGCAGGCATTTAGGAGTAGGCAACTAAGATGCTGATTGGAAGCTCTGAGGGCATGCATAGGGCTTGCTAACTGTGACCTTCATCATAGGTTGATCATAGGAAAGCTCTCTGTCAGTAGCCTTAGTTGCCTTCTCTTGGGCGACAGCTTTTTTCATTCTCCTGCCTGGAGGGTAGAAGCCTGGTTGCCAGCATTCTGGGAACCAAATAAGGGAAGGTGGCTGGTGGTCTCAGCATCTGATATGCATATGTTCATCTAATCCCGTTGATTTGCCTTCAGCTGTGCCATTCTCCTCCCCGCAACCCCTAGGCTAGAGGACCTCTCCTTTACTCTCTATAGAAGATAAGCCTCCAGGTATTTGCTGGGGTGTATGGGGGATAGGCGAATAGCCCAGGTGTGCAGACTTGGGGAGGCTGTCCAGGGATCTAAGCCCTTCTTAGATAGTCCTTCAGCCAGTCCAGCTTAGTCTAGTACTTCCTCTACCCCCAGCCTTTTGGGTTTTTTAGGGGATATAATGAGGTGAATTCTTGTCTTTGCCCACTGCTAACTTAGGATTCAGGTCTGCTGTGTCATTCGTCACTCTTCCATCTACATTCTAGCTTCCAATATTTTGCAGCCATTGTCTCCTATTTTATTGCCCCTCTTCTTGTTGGTTTATGGCTTAAAAAATCCTTTTACTGTCCTTTAATTGGGTTTTGGGAGGAAACAAAGGTAGCCTCATGTGTTTAATCTTCCATTTTTACCTGAAAGCCTCACCATTGCTGTTTGTTTACTGAACCCCTAAGGGTCTGAGGTTTTGAAAAGGAAAATTCAATGCCCATGCTAAGCACTCCAAAATATACTTCAGAGAAGGAATTACCAGAGCCAGCCCTTTGATTAAGAGAATTCAGTTATTCGAGACTTTTCTTTTAAACCAAGACTGTTCAAAAGATTTAGTTCCTCACCTACAACTTCTTTCCTCTTCCTCCATCTCTACTCTCCCTCCAACTTGCACCGGCTCTCATTGTGTTGTCCAGTCCAAACTGAAGTTCTTCATGGAGCAACCATGAGGAGGCATCAGGTTGCAGAGAATGAGGTAGTTTTGGGCAGGTAGAAAAATGAGGGAAGTGGGCGCAGTACAGCATGTCTTGTCAGATCCACGTCATGCTTTTATCAAGATGCTATGACTGTCTTTACCCTTTTCTTACTGGCTTGGGATCAGAGCAGTGATTCTCTTTATTTTTTTATTTATTTATTTTTTTGGTGAGGAAGATCAGCCCTGAGCTAACATCCATGCCAATCCTCCTCTTTTTGCTGAGGAAGACTGGCCCTGGGCTAACATCTGTGCCCATCTTCCTCTACTTTTATATGGGACGCTGCCACAGCATGGCCTGACAAGCGGTGCATGGGTGCGTGCTCGGGATCCAAACCGAGGCCAGCAGTAGTGGAGCGCATGCACTTAACTGCTATGCCACGGGGCTGGCCCCCCAGTGATTCTCTTTAAAGCTGTGGTTTTCCTTGAAGCCCACTAGAAGCTACACACTTCACCAGATTGGCTCTAACATTACTGGATTTGGTTGTCTCTTTAAAGAGGAGCATGTCTTCAGCTTCTTAGTCAGCTGTGGGGAGAGTGATCTCAAGAGTGGCCATTCTGATTCCTGAAGCAGGATGAAACTTACAAGCAAGTTTGAGAGAAAGGCTGCCTCTGTGATGGATTTCCAGCAGTTTTGAGCATACCTTTCAATATTTCTTCTTCAAGTATCTCCTCTAAGGACCTCCAAACTTGATATCATATCATATTTATTCAAACTTGATATCATATTTATTTTTTCCTTAAGTTTAAGTCTTTGTTTCCTATTAAATATTTTTTCTTTATCAGAGGAATTCTGTAATGTCTTTCTTTGGATCTAAGTTGGTAGAGTTTCAGAGGGTAATAATGGCCCCTCTACCTTCCTCAGTTCGGAATTAGTTGAGAGACAAAGCAACTAAGCATATGGAGATCAAAATCTAACCTTTATTATTGATTTTTACTGGTAAAGCTCTTTGAAAAATGTCGTGTTAGATCTGCTAGCCAATATAGGCATATTAATATTTTGACCCTGAATTTGACATCTTATCCACTGACTAACCAAATTGGACAACCACGGGCCACTCCATGAGTGTCTAATCCTCTAAAACTTAAAACAAGAAAGAGAAGAATAGGTCCTGCAAAGCAGTTAGGAAGGGGCTGAAATAGAGGCTAGAAGTGTTCCTCTAATGGAAGTCCCCCACCACACGGACATGAGGAGTGGAGAACTATGTTTCATAATATGAGGTGATATCAGTTCCCCTTAAGACAGACTATCAATTTATCACAGATGCTCAGAAAAAAACACTATATTAAATCAGGTTGTATGACACATTCAGATTTCAGAAACATAAGAATCATTTTCTTACCTTAGAAATAAGGAAGTATAGTGTTATAAATTGTCAATCATTTGTTCCTTTGGTAAAAACTTTCTCTTCAGTTTGGGCTAAGTGAAGGCACACCCTTGGCTGGGGTGGGGAGCCCCAGCTATAATTCCAGCCCTGTTACAAACTAGCTTGGAGTCCTTGGCTCTGTTGAACCTCTCTAGGCCTGTTTTTCATCTGCTCAGTGAAGAATGGGGGACCAGCCCAATACATTAACTGGTAAAAAGGATAAGGAATAAGACTTGAACTTCCACAGCTAATTAGTTTCAGAGTTGGAACTAAAACACAGGTATCTCCCTTCCTTAGTCTCATTGTTTTCTTCTATATCCATTTTGGTTTGACTTAAATTGAGTTTAGACGAAACAGTTTAGCAGCACAGAAGTGATCATTCATTTGTTCATTCATTCATTCATTCAACAGAGCGTCTTTTTTTATGCCAAATACTGTGCTAGGCAAATAAGGATGAATAAGACGTGTTCTTGCATACAACCTGTGCCCTTCTGTGTTTGTAGCTATTAGTGACCACCTCAGCCACCACCCTTTATTTATAGCCTCATTTGAAGGGCTTCAGACTGATCTCTGATCTTCAAGGAAATTCAAACCTCCTTGGCTACTCTGAAACCATCATTCCTCTTAGGCTTCCCCTGAGACCTGGAATAATGCTCCTTCAGTTGACGTGACCCACCTCCAAGAATTAGCTCATACCATCTTATCACATAAGCTCTTCAAGTGCCTGAAGAGAAAAAACTACAGAGTGAGGTTCAGAATCATTCATTGGCCTCATTATGGGTGTTCTCTTTCTGTTTATAGGGTGCTCAAGCTGGCATTACTACGTTACCATGCCAATGCCAGCCTCTACCGTCACCATTGCAGTGGGATCCTGGACAGAAATGAAGCCAGAGACCTGCTCATCACATGATCTGGCAACAGAGAGATCCTTCTCACCTTCTGAGGCCGACTTCAGGTTTGTATTTGGGAACATGCTGGAAAACAAACACTCAAGGGAGCAGTATGATGCATTTATTCCAAGTACTGGGAATGTGAGTCATCCCTGCTGAGAAACTAAACCAAAATGTGATTAATCAAAGCAGGAAGAGCCATACTGGGAGGGAAAGATTGTTGAGAGGCAGAAATCTGGGCATATTGTTTATGCAGAAAAAAAGAGAAAAGAAGTATATATGAAATCCTTTGTGAAGTCAGGTGAAATATTTTTGTGTGTTTGGTTAAGTCAACAGAATCCTCAGGTTCAACACTTTCCCTCCTTCTACACCTTTTAACTTTGGTTTTCAGTGCTTGTTTGGTCAAAAACACAACTTAATAAACAGAAGTTGCTTGTCTTGATGGATTACTTTATAGGCCACTCTGTTGATTTGGTTCCAGTGGCTGCTGTTAGCAGTGCGTTGGTAGGGGTAGCCTTCCCTTAGTGAATCCTGCTAGGTCAGGGCTCTATTAACTTCAGTAGCAATTTCTTCTTGTTCAGAGTGGATCAGAGAAAATCAGTTTTAAGTTTTTTTTGTTTTTTTTTAGTGGGGAAGATTGGCTCTGAGCTAACATCTGTGCCAATCTTCCTTTATTTTGTATGTGGGTTGCTGCCACAGCATGGCTTGACAAGTGGTGTCTAGGTCTGTGCCCGGGATCCAAACCTGCGAACTCTGGGCCACTGAAGCGGAGCACACATGAACTTAACCACTACGCCACCAGGCCAACCTCAGTTTAAAGTTTTTAAAAATTAGTATAGGTCATTGGATATTCATTTGCGGCCTCCCCAGAGGCTATTTCTAGCTTTGAGAGCCAAAAGAGAGAAGGAGAATGCATATAAGAGACACAGAAGTGTGCTAATTGTGTGTCATTGCATCATGCTTCATTCCTAGGACTTTCACACCCAAGCTCAATTTAATCATTTTTCCTATTTACGGAAAGTCACTAAGTCAGTACCTTCCAATGGAGAAAGCCCAGAGTAATGCTATAGATGGTTAGTTCATCCTTGAAAACCAACTAAGTTAGGCTCTTAGGGCAAATTTCTTTTGTGTTGGTTTTATTTTGCCCTGTTGCTTTCACTCTTACTGCAACGACTGTAGTGGTTGGTATTGTTGGGAGATAAAGCCATTGAGCCCTTTCTTATGACAGGCATGTCTTATTGCCCACATTTTGCTTTTTTTTTTTGGCGAGGGAGATTGTCCCTGAGCTAGCATCCATTGCCAATCTTACTCTTTTTGCTTGAGGAAGATTGCTCCTGAGCTAACATCTGTGCCAATCTTCCTCTATTTTGTATATAGGATGCCACCACAGCATGGCTTGATGAACGGTGTGTAGGTTCTGTGCGTGGATCCGAACCCATGAACCCCAGGCTGCTGAAGCAGAGCACGTGAGCTTAACCACTACACCACTGGGCTGGCCCCCACATTGTGCGTTTTGGAGGAAGGGAGGTTACTGAACAGGAACCACTTCCTGTTCAGTAACTTGCCTATTTTGAACTGTCTTCCCTGGGCTATATAAAGGATCCTCAGTTGCTTATTGGATTTTACTTATGCACTCTCAAGGGAAGAAGAGAATTGTGGACAGAAGTGATATATGTTACTTTCACGTGGGAACATTTCATTGCACCTGAGACCCTCTAGCGTTCTCTTCCTCTGCTACTAGCCCTCATTTTGCAATTGTGAGCAGCCCAAATTTCTGAGTGGGGAGGACAGGTGCCCTGGAGAGTCATTTGGATCCACAGTGGACCTGGTATGAGTGAAAAATAAACTTTTTTGTGTTAAGCCACTGAAACACTGTGGTTGTTTGTTATTGCAACATACCCTAGCCTATGCTGAATTGATACAGAAGCCAGTGTATGTTTGAAGTCAGGCAAAGTCTTTATCTAAATGTCATCTCAGTTAGTCTTGAGGATAAGCCTGCAAGATAGATAGGCTTTATTATCACTGTTTCATAGATAAAGATACTTATTTATGTTCATATGAGAACTTGTTCATGTTCATATTCCTACTGAGTGAATCCCTGGATTCACATCCAGGCTCAACTCTCTAGAGAGGTGATTCAGAATTTTACCTGGGGACTCTATAAAACTGTACATAACATCCACGTCCCCCCCCGAAGTCTGATCCACCTTCCCATCTGGAGAGTTAGTGCCATGATTGAGCCACTGTTAGTGATTGGAGTATGTCATGTTGAAACAGAAAACAGAAGTCAAGAACACTGCCTATGAGCCTGAAGGTGCCATCCCTACTGTTTGGGTATGTCTCTTTGGGCAAAGCCATACTTTCCTTCTCTGTAGAATAGAGATTTTGCTCGGGGTTCTCAAATTCTTCGTGATGAAGAAGGATTCTGCTCTTCACCTACGCTCTCCGGGCTGATTGACTGGTGGAGGAGGTATGCAGTTGAAAAATGTGTGCCTTAGGAAGACTAGGGGAAGGCAAAGAAAGAAATGTGTTATTTTATCCTCCTAGCCGTATTCCCAGAGATATGAGGGGGAAGAGTGGGCAGCAGCCATTTCCTATGTGTTCTCTCTGCTGCCCGGAAGCAACTGAAATGGCTTTTCACTTTTCTTGCATCCGTAATTGTGAAGGGAGGAGGACATGGCCACATCAAGTGGGGATTCTGGGAAGAGATGCTATCTGAAATTTCTATTGGGATTTAGGGGAAGAGATAAATATCACTCCTCCCTTGTCCTCATGAGTTCAGAACCAATTGAGAAACAGACAGGAGAAGAGCAAAATAAAGGTTGTATTATTGACAGAAGCTGGACTGAGGGAATACTCAGGTGTACAGTCTCAATGGACTTTCTAAAACTCCGTTTCCAAATTAGACAAACTTACCCACCATTTATCCACCCAGCTGGACTACTACCAGCCTTCACCACACAGATGTGCACAGCCTGCCTTATGCCAAAAAGTACCCTCTCTGTGGGCAAGCAGATTCGAAAAGAGAAAGCCCAGAGTGGCCGACCCAGTCAGATCAGCTTGGGAGAGAAGTCAAGGGTGCCATTGCAGGGAAGCTTGTCCTTGTATGGAAATATGAGGCCTGGGGAATGGAGTCCCTCCCACACTCCCTTCCATGTCTGACCTGCTATGACTAAGTTTTCCCTTCATTTATCGCTGTGCTTGTCCATCAAAAATGTACTGCTGATAAAATAATAGCTTACATTTGCTTAATCCTTCCCCGGCTGCGTGCTTCATGTATGCTGTCTTTAGTCATCAGAGGGTGGCTTTGTGTTTTTATCCATTACATCTCTGGCTACATGCTAATTTTGCCAGCAAAGGTGCTCTGTCTGAAGTGCCAACTGCAGTGTTGTTGTTGGTTGTGCTCACATCTGGGCCCCTTGCCTTCCCCAACCCCCTTTCTACCTCAGACCTTCCTAAGACCACCGGTTCAATTCATGTAAATGTAACTTTTACAGGGACCTTACATACCACAGGCTTTCACTTGCCTAAAGTGTTTATCTGGGTCCCAAAGTGTTGGTCACTGAACTTTTCATCACTGTTCATGTGGCTAAATTATAGGGAGGACATTCCCTCTTCCAGCTCCAGTTCCACACACACTCCAGCCTGCTTTGAGGGAGCATTTTAGTAAATCCATTAGTTATAAGGCACTTAGGTAAACTGTTGAAAGTTTATTAATTTTATTTGGCTGCAGCATAACCTTCTCCAGCCACAGAGAAATCTTTGTATTATGTTTAACCTTTCAGGGCCTTTGTTAAAGCATTGTCTTCACTTTGGGGCCATACAGTGTAAGCACGATGCAGAAACTTGGATAAAATTCAGATGAACTCAGCAAAAATGATTAAAAGCATGTAAAATAGGCACCAGGAAGAAGAAAAGGCATTGAGGTTGTTCTTCCTAAAGAAGGGAAGACTTGGTGGGGGAAGAGGTCTTCTTTAGAATTGTAAAGTCTATGAAAAGTTGCTTTGTGAATTTGGAGGATGAGGCCCTTGTTCTATGTCTTTGACAGGGTAGAAGAGAAGTTTTATATATATACATATATGATATGTGTGTATATATATATATATATGTATATGGGGGGGGGAGGAAATACATATATATATATTTGAAAAAATGCCAATTTCCAGTATACCTTTCACTATGAGAAAAACCTTTCCTGGCTTGGTTTGATTTCTTTAGCCCTTTTTCCCTCAGGGTATTTCGGCTTTCTCTCTCTTATTGCGCATATCTCATGTTGCTTTGTAATACACTGAATGCCCTAAGAAAATGCCTCCAGCTTTTTGACCTACTGCATCATCATATATATTGACATCATTGTCAACAACATGTTGGGGGCTGGTGGTGACATTTTGAACACTTACGATTTTTAGCAAGCATCTACTCTTCTTGCTAAAATATGTTAAATTGTGTAAACATTTTACTCTGTCACTGTACTTATCAGAATTTTTAATTTTTTCTCCCAGCAAAACTATAAACTTCTCAAAGGTAGGATCAGAGATTTATTTATATGTGTGTACACTGTAGCACCCTGCCAGGTGCCTTGAATAGAGCAGGAATGCAGGAAATATTTACTAAATTGTTGAACCAAGGAAGGGCTTGTGAAAAAAGGATATGCATTCCCAAGGGAGACTTTTTCTAGTGATTTCTTTTGAACCTATGACAGGAAAACATTTGTGTTAGGTGGTTTCAATACAGCGCCTTCTTGAAACAAGAAGATGGCTGAAGGAGAACCTCTTGAGGCAATTTCCAATCTTGTGATTCTGAGTAAAACATGGTCACTCTTACTCCTTAGAAAGACCTCCTGTAAAATAATTTCAGCCCAGCAATTGTATAAGAGAGAACCAATGGTCTAGTTCCCATCATGTACCAGGCTAACATATATTTCACCAGTTCTTCCCACTCTTGGCAATATTAATGGGCAGTATTGACAAGGAGCAGCAGGAAATTGGAGAACCCACAGAGCAGCTGAGCTCAGCCTCGAGAAAAATCCAGGATCCAAATTTACTCAAGAAGCATAATGAAGTATATGGAGAAGAAGGGTTAGGAGGGAGGAGCTTATGATGACTCATGATGTGATAAAAAGAGTAGTTCTTATTCTTGAGGAATGTTGTGTGGATTAATTGGGATAAATGCGTATAAAGTGTTCAGAACAGTGCTTGGCACAGAGTAAATGTTCAATAGCAGTTGTGGTAGGAGTTATTGTTTATTATTCTTATGATCATTTGTATTACAGATTATTAATAATGAACAATCAAGTATTATTATTAATCTTTACTATTAAAATGTTTGATTACAAGTCTGGGCACAAGAAATAGCTATTTACATATGCTTGCTTTGTTGAGGATATTGAGAGTGTATTGAGTGAGCCCATATACAGAGATGAACAAGTGAAGGCTAGTGTGAAAGGAGGATACAGCATTTTTGAGTTAATAACTGGTTCTGTGGAAGACTCTTCATGTCTTTATAAAAGTACAATGTTCCCTGACTGCTTCAGGAACATGGCTGTTGTATGTAGAGGGTCTCATGTGGTGAGTTGTCATAGAATCATAGTGCCAGAAGAAACCTTAGAAGCCATTTTAAGCTTTTTGTTTATTTGTTTTTAATTAAAGTACAATTAACATTCAACAAAATGCACAGATATTAAGTGTTTGGCTTGATGAATTTGTGACGATTGTGTACACCCTAAACTAGATAGAGAATATTCTATCACCCCACTAAGTTCCCTTACACCCTTTTCCAGTCAATTGCTCCCCTCCTTTTGCAGCCACTTTTGTGAGAGCATGTTAGAGATGAGGAAAAAGAGGCCCCAGATACTGAGTCGCTTGCCTCAGGTTACAGTTAATGCAGTCTGAGAACAGCCACTGAAGCCCAGGTTTCCTGATCCCCGTGTTGGAACCCACTTGGGGCTTCCCTGATGCCATTTCCATTTTTATTGGGAGCCTTAATGGTCTCACTTACCCATAGCTTGATTGCCTTAAAATCCTCCATTTTCTCCCAGGCTTTGATTATGAAAAACGATGCTGATTCACACAGCTGGAATAATCTTCATTCCCTAGCTAGTGCCATTCATATCCAGAGAGAGTTTAACTCACCTTTTCCCTTGAACAAATTGGGTTTTTTTTGGTCTGTTGTTGCCTACCTCTAACTATTCTCTAACTTATGGGGTTCTTGGCTGCAAGAAATAGTCTTGCCTCATGGTGTGTTTCTAGATAAGGCAATGGAATACCTCCTTGCAAGATTGTGTTTTCATAGCTAGAATTTAAACTTATGCCCTAACTTTGTCGTGAAGATGCCTCTTCACCTCCAATTTCTCCATTATTTAACATGAAAGCTTTTCAATAGAGAGTGCAGGCTTAAATTATGATAGCACATTATATACCTATGTAAATACATTAGGAAAAGTTACCATGGTGTTTTATTCAGTAAGTGGCTTTTTTCACTTCGTGAGACCTTTGATTGAATTGATGTGCCAGTAGAGTACTTGTCATTAGGTGGACACTGCAACCTTTTCAGTTAAATGTTTACCAACGGGCACCTTTACTCACTTTCTCCATAAAGCAAGATTATCAATCCAAGGACTTTGGCTAGTGTTCAATTTCAATAATTCTATTCTTCCTATCACCTTATCCTGGCAGAAGTTTTTATGAGTCTCCATCCATTTTTCTTACCCTCAACTGTGGTGAAACGACATCAATGCTGGAAGCTGTGTTTTACGTACTACGCTGGTGGAGGGTGAGACTTTTCTCCACAGCTGTGTGGATCTCCTTGGGCAGTGCTGGCCTTGAATGGGTGAAAGTCACTTCAAAAATGTGGAGAGGAATTATTGTTGCAGTCTGCTCATGTTGGGACGTGCTAGCATTTTAAAGTTTTTCAGTATTCACTGTGAATCTAATAAGTACCTATAGTTAGAATTGTAATTTGTAAATGAAAATTAGGGGGCTTTCCTTTGCGTTTGAATAAAGGACATGTTAATAGGTGAAAAAATAGAGTTCCCTTTGATGTCGATTCTTTGGGTAGGTAAGTTCTCTTGACGCCTGTGAGTCAGGCTCTAGGAATTCCCTTTTACCTCCACTTCTGACAGAATAACTGGCAGTCGTTAAATAGTGCAGGCTGGGCTCTGATCTATTTCCTTAAAAGGTTGATTCAGTTGCATTTGTATTGAAAGTGGGTTGGGGAAAATATTGTATCAAAAGTGCCTCTGTATTCCTTAACAGCACAACTTTTGATGGGTTTTGTAAAGAACACCTAGATTACTTTTCAGTAAAATGGATTGTGTTCTTTTGAAAAGTTGGAACCTATACTGTCATTTGGTTCATTGTTCTACCTGACTCTACATCTTCTATTTTAGGAAATCCCAGAATGGGATCTTTAATTTCGTTTCACTGTCCCTTCCTTTCTGAGTTATGAATCGTCTCTCATTTGAAGAAGATTTTTCCTATGATGATATTTGAAAAACACATCTGTGGGCAGAAGTTGCTTTTTATTTTGGTGGGGGGTTGTTTTGAGTCCTGGGTTTTTTTCCCCCTGTTTATTCTAAAAAAAGATTTTACTACATTTGCTTAGCTTAGATTGAAACTACTCAATTGATTGAGCACATCAATAAGTATTTTGACCTGTGATTTTTCACTACTGCACAGAAACAGACTAGCCAAGAACTCAAATGAACTGTCTTTGCTTGTGAGCCTGTCTGAAGCACTGTCTCTCAGAAGTTGTCCACGTCTGTGAGGCTTCCGCACCTTCATGGCAAGAAGAATAAACCTGATTTACCGTAAACTGCATCTGTTTATTTCATGTTGTTTCCAGGTATGTTGGCGTTTGTGGTCACATGGAATATCCCTGCCGCTTCCAGAATGCTTCTGCCACCACTCAGGAGATCATTCCTCATCGGGTTTTTGCCCCAGTGTGCCTTAGGGGTGCCTGCCAAGAGACCCTTCTGCGGCTGATCCCTTCTTGCCTCTCAGCAGCACACTCTGTCCTGGGAACACACCCGTTCTCCAGGCTGGATGTACTCATTGTCCCTGCCAACTTTCCAAGTCTGGGGATGGCCAGGTATGTTGTTCCGTTGTGGCACTTGGAGAACATGCTTTGGAAATTCTTTGACTGTTTCTTGCTTTCCCTGAGCTCTGTCAGAGCTGTCATTTGATTAGGATGGAAGGGCCATGGTTGCTCATGCTTGGACATCTCATTGCTGCCTTGAGGGACAGTCTGTCTATAGATTCCACCATGCATGAGCCTTTGAGTCTGTTGGACTCAATCCAAATGCCTTGAAATAAAATCATGTTGTTGCTGGGATTGAGTACACATTGTGCCCCCAGAGTGATATATGTTGGATCATGGCTGATCAGTGGCTGGTTAGCTTAGGTGGTGAGAGCATAATGCTAATAAGCCCAAGGTCATAGCTCTGGACAGAGTAACACAACTTGGTTCCAGGGCCACAGGCTGCTTGCCTAATCCTGACCAGCTGTCTCATCCAGTTTCGCCATTGGTCACAAGGGCAACGACTTGAGAGTCGCTGTGTCAGAGAGACTGTGGATGGATCAGTGTAAATCCATCATCACTGCTAGAAAAATAGCTCAGAGCAGATGGCTAACTGGGGAGGATTAGAGGGGAGTCACTTGTCTTACTACTATTTTTTAATACAGTAAGTGTATTATTCTTATTGTCTCAGTTGAGTTCCTACCTATGGAAAATCAAAACCAGCAAGTTGAACCTTTCCCTAGGTGTTTAGGTGTTATTTACACCTAAAATTCATTCATTGATGCCATTGTTCATTCAGTAATAGGTAGCTGTGTTTCATTCACACAGCATATTCCTTGGTTATGTACTCAGGATTTTACTTGGTTGTATTTCTATTTGAAAATCTTAATCATTTAACAATGAATATGCTTGACTAAGGATGGGAAAAATAAGCTCATCATAACATGTGACTTTAAGTTTTTCCATATTAGTCAAGGAAATTCATGCTGCCAATTAATTTCCATGGTTTTGAACAGCTGTCATTTGTGGTGTTTTCCCTGAAAACTGCACACATTCTTAGTAAAACCCTTGAGTAGAAAAGAACTGACCAGAACATTTGCTTTTGATCTTGACTATACACGTATACTTTTTAAAAGCTGGCTGGCTAGTCTTAATCCATGAGGAGGTCTGAGAAAGTCATTTAGACTGATTTTTATCCCATATTTATGAAGATAATGGGAATGTAGAAACTAGGATAATTATATATATTTGGTTATGTGCATCATATAATTGTCTTGGATGTCTATATATAGAATTTGTTTTAACAAGGGGGCTTCTTTGGTCCCTTTGAAGAGTATGCTGGACTTAATTTAAGCAGAATTATTGGCAAAGAAAGGGTTGTTCATTAAATGTTTCTCATTTGTACACAGTTTTGAGGGGCTGTATTTGTTTGGGAGTTTTTAGCACTTTGTGCGAGTTGTAGTGTTTCAGGGCATGTTTGCTAACAGTTCTAAGTTCTGACCTGAGGGAACCAAAGGCAGAGTATTTTTCCTACAGAGGACCTTATTTTCTATAACTCCTTCCTGACATCCGTCTGCCAAAACTAGAATTTGTTGACCTGCAGGCCATTCTATAAAGCTTCTCTTTTCAAGGTTGCATGCCCAAGCACGTAGGCTGTGTGTTTGCTGCTTTTTTGAGATATTTAAAGTGATTTAAACATGCTTAACTCTGTATTTTTAAAGCAATAAGCCTAAGTACCCTAAGGCCAAGTAGTACTGGGCACAAATGTCAAAAAATGTGATGGTGATAATAACTTAGCAGCAACAAGACTGTTCTTATGTTTAAAAACAGGAGAACCGTACATTTAAAAATTTGTGGTTGGTTGTCAAATATTATTTTTTTCCCTTTCTTTTTAGACTGTGGAAATGGTCTGCCCTGGCCTAGATGTTTTTTTGGGCTTAGTTACCATTCCCTGTATTGGAACTGTGGAGGGGGGATTGTGGTATCTTCCACTGCCAGTTGGGGAGTGGGAGGAAGCACTCTATTTTTCCTAACTCTGACCTAAATTGATTCCACTTGCTTGGCTTGCCTCTCTCGAGGTCCCAACACCTTGAGCCACATGCGACTGAGTGGGATTTATGACTCAGCTGGCTCCCAGGGTCCTGCTGCCTTATTTATGGTCAGGGCTTTGCTTGGGGCTCTGTAAAGCAAAGCTGGAACAAAAATGACAGTCTTGTAGGTCAACTCTGTACCCTAAACAGGAATAGAGAAATCCCAAGGCTAGTAGGAGCCATCCAAAAAGACCTCCACACTGAAACTTGCCATTGTTCTGTTAGTTGTAATGCGTGAGAGATCAAAGGATTTCTTGGTAAATTAAATGGTTCTTTCTCAAGTCCACATTTTACAAACATGTATGCAAGATTATAAATTCCATACCTCTGGATTTCTTTAGTGATTAGGTCTTAATCATAATGAATACCATTTTGGTATTCTTTTTTGGTAAATGACAGTAAACATTCCCACATGAACTAAAATGGGTAAATTATTAATAACTATTTTAAAGAGTTTTTTTAAATTTTGGACAATATCCATAACGATTTCACTGTATTTTAAATATTACATATCCTAGTTTGTATGAATAATCTTAAAACTCTCCTCTCTGAGTCTGTTTTTGAGCCTGATTCTGATATTTCAGTGAAGTGGGAAAAAACTCATTTGTATAACTTGAATGTATGATAATGACAAATCAGTTTATAAGAAGGTAATACAACAAACAACATTTTAGAATTTGAAATGCTTTTCAAACATAGCAGTAACTAGAACCTTTATCAGTACTGCACTTCATGATTTTCGTCACCTATTAATGTAATAGGAGCTATTACTTATCGACCCCTTCTCTCCCTTTTCTGAATCCCTGTTCCAGGAGAGAGATGCTTTCATTCCGGTGTGATTCTGAGAAAAATCACTAGTTTTTTAAGATACTATTGACAACTCCATTCCTATACTTTTCTCATTTAGTAAGTGTGGGCTTTCTGTTTCTGTTTGATTTTATTTTTGCCTCCATAGAGGCTGAATCTGCCACATAAGGAGCTATGGAGTATACATTTCTTGGATAGTGTAATATGATGTCTATAGGAAGATCCGAATGCATTTTAAATAACTTTCCAATGTATAGGAAAGCTCTCTTCATGTTGTTATAATTGGTGTTCTGCCATTTTCATTGTGTCCTGGTATTTTCTCAGGTGTCTCAGCTAGGGATTGACTAGTAAGCCTAATTTCCTAGGTATTGAGAAATACATTAAAGGAGCTCATCACTATGCTTACACTCTTTGTTATAATAATAATAATAATGTTAATGGACTAAAGTCCTGGAACCAGATTTATGACAGTTGCTTGAAAATTAACACCTCACTCTTACCTGTGTATGTCTTTATAATAACTCTTTTGCTTCACCATTTGTCTGTCAGCAGTTCACAATTACATGTCACGGGGCATAATTAGGTTGGCAGAACTACCTTGCTGATATACATTCTTTTTTTTTTTCTCCTCTATTTGAATTTCAAGAATCTCCTGCAAATCATTTCAGAGTTTTTTTATGTTTAGAGCACCAAATAAAAAAGCCATGTCTTCTCTGACCCTGCTTCCCAGCTTTACCATTCACATGTAGCTTCACCCCTGGTCCCACTGGGAAAGTTGAAAAAAAAAATGGCAGGAATGTGGTTGATGATAGGTGACAAATTCTGCTTTGACCTTTTTTCCACTGGTTCCGGCCCAGATTGTCTTGTTCATCTGTTCGTTGTTTGTTTATTTATTCATTCTTGCAGTAAATTTCTATTAAGCATGTGTGCCAGCTAGGATTTAAGATGCTGAGTCTACAAAAGTGAACAAGATTGATGAGTTCTTGGTCCTCATGAAACTTACATTCTAGTCAGCAGAGAAAACAGTATACATAAAAACAAATAATTAAGATGTGTACTATGAAGAAAGTAAAACCAAGTAAGACAGAATGACTAGGGATAGGTACCATCATTAGGGTTGGGAGGGGAAGCCTTCTTTAAAGAGTGACATTTGTGATGATACTGAAGAAGGAGAAGGAGCCAGCCTTGTGACAGTCTGGTGGAAAAGCATCCCAAGCTGAGGATGTTCAAATCCAAAGGCCCTGAGGTGGGAGCGGTTGTAATGGGCTGGAGGAGCAGAAGGAAGGCCAGTGTGGCTGGAGGGCAATGAGCTTTTACAATGGCTTTCCTTAAACTTATTTTGGATACCAGGAGATGCCATGGTCCCTCAGGGCTCTGGTCACCTGAGCCACCCCCACACACCAATGTGGGAAGAGTGAGGGAGAACCACTAAGAAATGGCAGAGGTTGAGTGGAGAGTGATGGTTCCAGGCAGTCAAGTGTGTGTGGAGAGGATCTCAAGAGAGATCAAATCTTTTCTAGGTTTTCTGGAGACCAACAGTGCCATAGTGACCCACTAGTTAGAACTTAACTTGGCTTAGCATCTGCCATCCTTGGGCAGAATTCTCCATTGCGGAAGCATCACAGCACCTGGCGCCCAGACTGGCAACTCTCCCTTTTTGTCCCTTTCTTTCCCCTGGTGGGTGCTGATTGATGCCTTGCAAGCTTTTTTGATACAATAGGTCACAAGGAGGGAGGCTGTGTTTGTATGTTTGCTCTTCTTAATTTTTAAGTTTTTCAAAGACTGAACAAAAAGAGGATTGATAAATAAAGGGCATAGAGAAATAATCACAAATTACTTAAATATCTTCAATGCACTTCACAGGAGAGAAAAACTATGAAGCTGCTTATTACACACGGCTTGTTCTTAAAATATTTGATTGTGCGATAAAAGGCTTCTGAATGCTTATACTAGTTCCTGACTATTGCATGCACAACTGTCTTAAGTACCTCAATTTTCGAAGAAATGGTATGCACGTACATGCCCAAGAACGAACGTCACCAGTTTTCCCTCCACCCTCTCCTCTTGGGGTTAGACAGGGTGTTGTCCTGTTTATTCTTATCTCCCAGCCAATGTGTAATAGAATCAGCAAAACATAACATGCTGGTACAAAGGGCCTGTTGTTTTCAGCCTTCT